ATAATTGTTATGGGCAGGTTACAATTTAAAAAATGGTTTGTCATAATCATGTCTTGTGATTATTTGACAGGAGTTTTAAACTAAGTGAATTTTATGTTATAATGTAAATACAATAAAAATTAAACCAAGATTTATAATAATGATCATTTTGATCCATACATTAGTAATGTGTGACTGGACCTTGTGTCACTTTATCTTCAACAAACTGGACCCTGAGGTCACAAAGGTTAAGATCCCCTGTTATAAACACTATAAAATGTTCTAACATTTTTATAAAATGCTGATTTTTTTTTTAAACTGAGGTGTATTTATTACTTAATTAATTGAATTACACTGATGAGAAAAGTACTTAAGTAAAAGTCATAAAACCATTCACAAAATTTGGGAAAGTAAAAGTAAAAGTACTTTTACACACTCTCTAAGAAATAAACTGAATTTATTTAACCAAAACTGGTTGCACTAACTAACCTAGTTGAGTAAATTGCTTCATATTTACTTTATTAGATTTAGTAGAACCAGGTGTTATGATTGGTTGAGTAGATTCAACACTTCATCTCTTTACAGCACAWAAACACCTCCTTTCATGAGGAGTTCAGACAGTTTTTGTTTTGTAAGGTCTTACTTTTTAAAGTAAAAAGTAAGTAAGCATCATTTTAAGTCCTAAATGTAACAAAATAAAAATATTTAGTCAAATCTAAATAGACAGGTAAATTTAAAAAGTAGAAAGAAAGCAAAAAGACACAGAAGGACGGACTGTAACTGGAGGAAATGTTAATTGGCTTCATGTTTTGGACCATGGRACTGTTTTTTAATAAACTCATGTAACTCACTCACACTCTTATAATAAACACAAACCTGTAAAATTAACTCACATGGAAGAGGTTTCYAGTTGTTTCTTTAGTTACTCAAATATATAACTTTAGATGTTTACGTCTGATTAGTTTTACATCAGTTAGTGTCATAACCCGCTGTGCGTCAGCAGCTGCCTGTATATTTGTGTTTTTGCTGTTACCATGATGTGAATCAATCTAAACCTCATCATGTAATAATCACCTTGTTTTACAGTTAAATGTCTGTTTTTTCAGGACTTGCAGGAGAAAAGGGATTATCAGGCGCTCAGGGAATAAAAGGATCTGCCGGGGCTGACGGTGTGCAGGGAGAGAAAGGAGAGCAGGGACCAGCTGGGCCTAAAGGTACATCCCTGATCTGTCAGCACTTTGTGTTAGGTTTCATCCTGGGAAAAACATAAATAATAAGAGCTAAACTTAACAGCTTTTATCCTCGTGGAGCCCTGAAAGTGTCAAATGTTACAGATAAAACAAAACACTTTACTTTTCCAGTCTTTTTGTAGAAATAAATTCCCATTTCTCCACAACTGAAAGTGGTCAGCTCTGTCACCAGTCCACCCATTTCACCTCCAACAGCCTCAGTTCTCAGATGTCTGTGTCAAATAAACCTGATGTTTTAAAGAAAACACAGCTCTGGGTTTATAGCAGGCACCACTGCTTTCTTCTTGTGTTTGGTCGTGGAAACTGTTGATTAAAATGCTCTTCTGCAATAATACAGCTTCCTTTTACCATAAAATTAATCTAAAGACTGACACAGATTACTGAGGGAGTTTGGTCATTTTTACAGGTTTAAGTTGGATAATAGTTTTAATACTTGATGCAAACTTTTTAAAGAATATTTAATAATCTGAACAGCTGATTGTACTATAATTATGAACAACTAGACATGGGTTTTTACGATGTAAAAACAAGTGTGCATTGCCATGTAGCATGTCATTGCAGCATGGCTTTGCCTGCAGCATTGGACTT